CATCACTGACTATTCTAAAATCAAGATGGGATGTTTTTCTAAATGTGAAGGAGCAAGTTATATAAAAGGTGTATATATAGTAATTGCTCTATTCTGTCATCTAGACTTTTTTTATCCTGAATTGGAAATGTTAAACATATAGCATTCAGACATATTTTACAACTTCCTGTTGTGTGATCCTTCCAATAGACCACCATTTTACTGTTCTATCGCACTTATCTACAGACAGACATTGTCCCATTATGATGGCCAGGAGGAGGCTGATTGGGAATTGTGAACCATATCACCATAACCTGCCCATTGGTTAGGGTCTGTCTGTTGTATTTTTGTTACTCCAAATGTTACACTCTGAAACAATCCTTTAATTATTTTCTTTAATCACAGTGGTAATATTTTTGACACAGGGTAATGATAGTAATGGCTAGGGCAACCAGCAGGAGTGGTGTCTGTAGTTCTTAAATACTAACACTATATAATAAGATTCCAGGAATGTCACACTGTGGGAGTCAGTCTGAAGCTTATTATGTCTGTAAAGTCAGTGTGAAGTGACAGAAGCAGCTACAAGTATGTTGAGAGCTCTCTTTGTTCAGAATACCACCAGAATGAATCATGCTGGGTTTCACAGTTTGTTGCCATCCAGTTTTTAAGTTCTCAGCCATTTTGATTTAATTAATTATACCTGTGTGGTGTACAGCTACAGTCATTCAGTCATGTATATGCCATGCCAAGAGTCCTAGGCTGTTCCGATGTCAGAGGTAATTCAACCAATCACCACCCTTACTCTATAGCTAATTTGCAGACAACAATTTTATTGGTAATTTAAGGGATAATGTACAATGATGGATTACTTGAACCAACTGTCACACCCAGGCACCCAAATGCCACACTGCAGCACGCTCCCCTCATTCACTACCTGCACAAATCCACGCTACTCTCCTAGCACAATCGCCAAGATGCAAATCAGCACAGCCACCCACACAACACAGCCACTGTATATAATAACCCCAAACACATACAGCCCTTCACAGCAGCACACACCTCTCATTTGCCACCTTCACAAATCAATACAGAATCCCCCAACACAAACCCCACAGACACAAGTGAACACAACCAGAACACATAATAACCCCAAACATCACTCTGAAGCCTAGAATATCTGTTGTGTGTGAAGCAATGGAAAGAACTACAAGCATGGCTGAGAACTTTTTTTGTTCAGCTTATCAGCAGGTTCAATCATCATTGGGATTTGTGGTCTCTTACCATCCAACTTTTAAGTTCTTAGCCATTTTGCCTTATTTACACACATGATAAATTACACCTATGTGCCAGTAGAGGCTTTCAGCTACTAGTTACTGTTTAAATGTGAGTGCTACTAATAAGAGCTTCAGAGTTTGATTTAAATTCTGGTACCATCTAGGATTTGCATTCTTTTACATTTCTGTGTAATGAAGAAAAGACTTGATCAATCCTACTACTGTGTGCTTGTCATTCAATTGGTGTTACTGGGTACACAAGTATATGCTGCCAGAACCACAGACTTTTTTCCTATACTTTTGCCAAGAAATTTTCTTGATAACCTTTGTCTTTTCCTTCTTTAAACCCTCCTTAATTCCTTGAATGAAGCTAACATAGAGTGGAACTTACGTACGTTTTCCAAGAGCTGAGGAATATTCCAGCAGTTCCACAGTACTCTTGTACTGCCTACACTGATCAAACTTCCTGATTTACTATAGTATTTTATTGTAAGCAGTTTCAGTATCATAGGCCAGCTGGCAGGCAAACCTACCATTTTCCCCCACCAGTCGGTGCTGCCATTTCTGTTTATTTCTTTAAAGCTGAGCTGTGGGTCAGCTGCCTTTGTGCTGATCCCTAGCACAATTCCTTCCCTATGTATTATGCCTTATCTGACATGCAGTGTAGTCTGGGGCCAAATTACACAATATTGGATTTTGGACTCTATCATCTACAGCTTAACTGCAAGGTAATCTTGTACATTCAGAGATGCCATTGCAAAGGAAAGGACAGAGATGCAGTAAAAGGGGAAAGAAGAATTGAGGGTATGGAGGATGAGGTGAAGATCCAGCAAATGTGTCCAATAGCAAGTACCTCATATCAGATTGTTCAGCTAGCACCCACCTTTTTCTGTACCTTCCTGAGGGCAAATGCATACCCTGAAAGCACTTTCATGTGCCAAACCCTCCCATTGACAAGTGATTCCAACCTAAACTCCCCACATTTCCCAAGCTTCCGTAACTACCCTGCACAATCCAGGATAAAGCCTCTATATAGGGTTCCTCAATCCCAGGTATTAAAAAGCCCCTCCACTGTCTTTCCTTTTGGTAACAATGTGCTTTCTTTTATTCTTGAAACATCTTCCCTTTCGTTTTACACTATGTGACATTTCTTTATATTCTGCTTTAAAGGAACACTGGCAACTTAAAAATTGTATGTTTTTTTAAAAACTAAGCTTACTATAAATAAAAGATTATCAGGGGGGAATTTTTCAGTTTACTCTGTGCATTTATCGCCACTTTGTGTAGAGCAAGTTTCAGTCTTTACCCTGTATGTACAGAACCATCTGTTAAACTATGATCCTGCAATGAGCTCTATGGGGGTTGACCCTTGTGCTGCTGCAAAGCCCTACTGGAATCATTATTGCCCTGTGTGGACATGGGGTTGCTTGCATAGAGTACATAGCAAGATAGGGACTTTAGTTATTCAGTTTCTGCTGGTGTCTGAGTTGTTCACAGAGCAGAAAGGGAGGGTTTTTTTTTTTGTAATTTTAGAAAACATGATTGTAACACCGCAAAAATTGACAAGAAAACTTAGGGACAGGCATCACACCTGAAACTATTTGTAATACTTATTTTTTAATTATCTGATCATCCAGTTGACTATCCTTTTAAAACGTGCTTCTCTCCAAAAGCTTTTCAGTGATGATTCAAAAACACCTGCAAAACCTCTCTCAAATGTATGATAAAGGTCTGCTCTGTGTGTTCTGTGTCTGATTTAGAGGGTAAGCTTTATGGGCTGTGTCTTCTTCATTGTTTATATTGGCCCTGCACACACTGTAGGTACCTAAGAAGAAGATTTGGCACTTGCTGTTAGCTGTCCAGTAATCTCAAAGTGCTTTACAAATATGAATTCTCTCAACATTCCCTGGGACATATGATGCCGCGGTTGTGCCTGTTTTACAGAGAGGGAGGCGAGGTGCAAAAAACGAATTACTAAAGTCAGCTTGCAGGTCTGTGTATCCCATAGTCTGACTCCCTGTTCTGTGCTCTAACCACTGGGCCACACCAGTGAATCAGAACGTCCCTTGTTTTCTGTTGTGTACAGTGCCCACCCCCATGCCCGAGGAGGGAGTGGGTGGGAAATTTCCTCCTCTGGCCTTGGCAGCAGGGTGCAGTAAGGGGGCAAGCAAGCCTAGGGCTGGGCAGTAAGGAGGGGCAGCCTGGAGCTGGGCAGCAGGGGGCAGTAAAGGGGGGAGCCTGGGGCCGGCCTGGCAGGGAGAGGGGAGCATGGCGCCTGTTGCCGCTGTTCGCCCTCCGGCCAGAGGGGGCGCTGGGCAGCAGCAGTGAGCGCCTCGCGCAGCGCCGGCGGGTCCCTCCTGCGCCCTTGTCTCCGTAGGCCGCCGTCGCGCTGGGTCCCGGGGTGAAGGCGCCTGCGCACTCCGGCCTCTCACCATATGCACCCAGGTGCGTGTGGATGTGGCCGGCCGGACCCTGCTGAGGCGGACGCGGACGGAGGCGAGCGGTGACCAAGCGGCCCCGCCAGCGCCGCCATGGGCAAGAAGCAGAAGAACAAGAGCGAGGACAGGTAGCGGGCCGGGCTCTCCCCCTCCCTCTCCCGAGCGGGCTCGTGGCCGGGGAGTGACAGCGCGGGGCGGGCTCGGCCGCGGGGCCCTCCCACCCCCGTGGCTGCTAGGGGGACCCCGGCTCCCGCGGGCAGCGAGCGCTGGTGGGGGCGAGTCGCGGCAGCCCCCTCCCACTGCGCACCGACCCACGGACGCGGTGTCTTGGTCCCCACGGTTGGGAGGAGAAGCGGGGGCGACCGACCCAGCGCTGTGTAGCTGGCGCTGCCTTCCAGGTGCCGCCTCCCCCTGCTAATTCCTTCCCGGGGCAGCTGAGCGTTGTGAGTAACTAGTGGCTTTATGCAGAAGCACTGTGGGTGTTGTCTTTTCCCCCGGCTTTATTCTGGGAGGGACATCGGCCTCCCAAATCCATGAGCCTTGTCTGTAAGCGCATCAGAGGACTGGAGCCAACTTGGAAATGAAAATCTATGGCGAGATAAACACTTGTGTGCTGCATCCCCAAAGCTTCACTAGTCATCCAAATGTATCTGGATGACTATCTTCCAGCATATGCTGTATCAGCTCCCACAAACGCTTGTGATGTTTAGCTGAAACATTATCTGTCTTGGGTTTTGTAGCACTGAGTGGGAAGAAATGTCTATAGGTGAAAGTATCAAAGGGGTAGCCGTGTTAGTCTGGATCTGTAAAAGCAGCAAAGAGTCCTGTGGAACCTTATAGACTAACAGACGTATTGGAGCATAACCTTTCATGCTCCAGTATGTCTGTTAGTCTATAAGGTGCCACAGGACTCTTTGCTGCT